TAAAAGAATAAGAATTTTTATTTTAAATCGAAAGTGGAAAGTGAACAATGAGAACTATTCAAAATCCAACTAATACTATAGTAACATTTTAAATTTATCTGAAAAAAAGCTAAAATAAACAAATAAAAAAAAGCAATATAACATAAAAATATATATCTCCCAACGATGTTTTGATTATGATTATATTATAAGAATGAGAATCATTCTCATTCTTATAATATAATCATAATCAAAACATTCACATTACGTTTGTTTCTGTTATTTTAGGGGTCATATATTCTCTAAAGCTATCGAGATGAGGTGTGTGACTGCTTTGTGTTTGAACTGTTTTTGTCTAACACTCTTACTAGTAAACTAATGGCTACTCTGCAGGTAGTGGGTAGTGGCTGAAGAACCATTGGATTAAATTAATTAAGTAAATTTAGTGTAGCAGCATTGCACTCACACTACATCTGACCAACAGAAATGCTGGCAAGCAAACACACCCAATTTATAGGCCATCTGTCTGTGCTACGTTACCGTTAATCGTCACACATGAACATTAAATATATATATTTTTTAAAAATAAATTCTATTAGCATGGCTACTTGATTTTCCAAATTTATTTTAACCTCACTTTTCAAATTATTGTTTTCCTCTTATGTACACTTAAAAAAGTTGCAACCTTTTTGAGTAACTTGTGTGTCTCAGTCGATTTACTTTCCCCATGTCTATAAATTGTCTCATTAACATTGCATATTTGGATCTACAAAGTATGGCTTACCGTGCTTGTCTCCTTATCTTCTCATTTAATGTTTTAAAAATTAAAAGACATCTGTTTTCTTTTATATCTATGTCAAAGTCTAAGTGCTCCCTCAAAGTGCCTGTTCTTCTTCAGCATATGAAGTTAATGAAGATTCCACAACTGTCACAGTCTTTTCTTAGACACTTGGTAATGATGACCTGGGGACACTGAAAAAAATAAATCATTATGAATGTAGTCAGAGGTTAACCCACAACAGCAACCACTGATGGTTCTTAAATGTGTTGTAAAGGCATTGGTGCAGACTTTTGTTCTGGCTGTGTAAACAGAATATTTGTATGTTCTGGTTGCATGAGTGCTGTGGAAGTTACAGCTGATGAATCAGTTGATCGTGCTGTATGATAAAACGATATGGCTCTTGGCTTACCCTTACAAAACCATCGCACTGACGTTGAACTGTATAGCAGATGTTTTTTTTAAATTTTGGGCCATATTCTTTAAATTAATAATAGCACTTGTTCGTTGCACATGTAAATGTTTGTCTGGCTCTGCCATCTGCATAATTTCCTTTATTCTTCTGCATATATCAAAAACAGGAAGTTTGTCATTTACGAGTAACTGTGTTACGTAGCCCTTCTTGATCAAATACATGGTCATCTTCTAAAGAGTGTATAATGTTGTTGTTTGTTTGCGTTCACCGGCTGTAAACCCCATCAGAAAGTTCTAGTTGTTCATCCACTTGTGGACTTTGGCTTTGTTACAGGTCCTGAGTTTTGCATGTGTGTCCGTTTTACGGATCTTGCTTATTTGTATGCAGACTGTTGGATCCTTGCCTCTCAGGCAGACGCACTCCGACTTAGAAGGAAGCTCCCAATTAGTTGACTCCTATGACATGCTTGTTGGGGAGGCAGTGGGTCTGTTCTTCTTTTCACCACTATGGGACCATGAAAACCTACACAGGGATGCAGGGTGTATATTTAGTACTGTATTTTTTTAAATTGCTGCCATTCCATTTATTTGTAATCACCATTTGTGGAGTTAGGGCAACATTTACTGCTTTTGTGTACCTTTTTTTTGTATCTTATACAAAATATAAATATATATATATATAGTCCGTCTGTGTAAGTAACTATGCAATGGATACCATCACACTGGGGAGTTTCTGGAAATGAAAAAGCTGATAAATTAGCTTACGAAGGTGCAAATGAAGAACAACCTGATGTACCAGTCTCTTATCAACAAAAGAAGAGAATAATCAAATCAATCAGAAAGTCACCAAAACCGGCACAAGACGATTACCAATTTATGGATAGACCAGAGCAAGTTATTATTCTACACCTTAAAACAAGACACAATCGACTTTGCAGCTACATATACACAAAATTTAAAATCGGTGAATCAGCCATGTGCACATGTGGATTGGCACCTGAGATAACAGATCATATCCTTCAAGACTGTCCAAATACAACATATCAAGATAAAACTTTTGGCCAAGAGAAACATCGGTGCAAGTCAAACTTTACGGGTCGCTGAGTGAATTACAAAAGACAGTGAAGTTTATACTAGAGACAACATTGCAGATATAATCTATTTGAAACAAACAAAAGAAGAAGAAGAATTTGGCATTTATCGATATGTTTAAAAAAAAAAAATTCATGTTGTTAAAGACCTTGGACAGCTCAGGCAGTGTAATGTTAAGGAACACATGCTAAACCAGAAATACAGTTTCTTCAGTAACACTATTCTAGCTAAGATAAGTAACAAAAACATCTGTATATGGCTGAGATGTTCTAAATTAATGGTTGCATGGCACTTGAGACATGACGTTATACACAAGTTTAGTTATGATGCCCAAATAATTTATGGAAAAATGTCTACAGTCATTAAACTTACACCCTGTATATGAAATGTGGGCTATCCTCCGAATAACGGTCCCAAATTCTCGAGGCCGAAAATATACCCTAACAGGGCCTCAGTCACATGTAAATTGGGGATCTATTTCCGGCGACTACACAGCATACGGCCAAGAGTAAACTGGCTAAACTAGATGCTGGGACTCACGAGCAAATAAAATGGAGGAAGTTGCAGGAGATGCGGTAGCTGCTGCTCTTGAGTCCCAGCCTTCTAGTTTAGCCCTGCGGGAGAAACTCTTGGCGGTGACTTTAGCTCGGCAGAAGCTTTTCTGCAGTATGCTGTGTAGTCGCCGGATATAGGTCTGCAATTTACATGTGACTGAGGCCCTGTTATGGTGTATTTCTGCCTCGATAATTTGGGACCGTTATTCGGAGGATAGCCTAAATGTGTTTAAAATAATTATTTTAATTTTAGGCAAAAAAAAAAGGTCATCTTATACATGGCGGCGTCTTCACAGATAAATTTATCTTTGCATTTTTCTGTATAAACAGCAACTGTCATCATGCTGCGAAGAAAACCAACTCGTATTGAGCTGAAGATGTCAGATCTTGAAGAGTATGAAGCTGTGAAGAAGGAGCGCGATGCAGCAGCTAAGACATCAAAAGTTGATCCAGCATTGACACCGGAAATGTATACTGCTAAAAACCGCATGGAAATTATTCATGCAAGGATTGGCTACGACCCAAAACCGCTTCCACAGCCATCCACATTGCCACATTAGGTAAACTATAGAAATGAATGAGACGACGAAGAAGAAGAAGAAGAAATGAATGTGTATGTTATCTTAATCTGTATTTTGTATATAACTAAGCATAGACAGTGTTTTTTGGGCATTATGAAAAGGGATGCCGTTGAGAACTTGGCAAGATTGATGGAAAAAGGGCAAGGGGAAAGGAAGGAGGTAAATACCTGGATAGTTTAGCCATATGGATGGGGCGAGACAAGAACACAGCCCCGATCCCTGATTTTGGTGATTAAATGAAATGGTGAAACATGACAGCCAGTGCTTAGTGGCATTTCACATAATGATGATGATGGTCTGTATATCCCTGCTTCTCTTTAGATAGAACAATTTAATCCTAATCATGGGTTTCTGGTGACACTATAACTTCTCTTCATGATTGTTCTGAGGCCCCATTGTGGGGGGAAAATAATAGACCCACCGTCCCGTTCCACCCCTCCCCCTCCCCTAACCCTGACAAGCATGTTGTAAAAAATAAGCTAATTATGAGTGTTTCTTCAAAGTCTGAATGCATCTTCCTGAGAAGCAATGAGCCAAAATTCTGCATACAAATAAGCCATATCTGTAAAACAGATATTCATGCAAAATTCAAGGTCTGAAACAAGACCAAAGTATAGATGTGAACTGAACTAACAACCAGAACTTTCCTCTGGAGTTTACAATTGGCGAAGAAAAAGAAGAAGACTGTAACCTTCCATGCGTCATTAAAAAAAACGATCTCAACTGCCTGTATTTTTAGAGTGTAAGAAAAAAAATGGTCTTGAACCTGAGTATTTAAGGCCATATAGCTAGTGCAGTCACCACAAAATGTGCAGGTTAGGATTTGTATTTTTCCCCTTGACAGAAAAACAATGACCAAATGTGTAAATATGTATATAGCTTGCAACATCACATCTAGCATGAGAATGGAAGGGAAGGCGGTAACTGCAGCTCTCCGGTGGCTAGAGAAAAAGATGTATACACATGTCGTAATTGTAACACTCTGAAAGCATGCTGAGAAAGGTGAAGATAGGGATGCTTCAAGCAGAGTGGCAAGCTTCATTGGGAAGGTCACAGGTAGTGAGCATACTTTGGATCTTTTCTCCAGGCTATGCCAGTGTAGTGGGTAATCAACAGGCAGACAGATTGGCTGGATCTGCATTACTGGGTGGTGAATTAATACATGACAAGGCAGATATGGTCTAGGCCCTTTGGGAACAAGCTACATATTCAGTAAAGAAACAAGATTATTATGGCCTGGAGATAATGAGGCACCTGTATGTAACCAAAGGTCTGGCTGGCTCACTACACTCAGAGGAAAGGCAAGACGGACATATAACCAGATTGTGACTGGTACCATAAGTATTGGAACTCAGCGCTGGCTGCTGAAGATGAGGTTGGAGTACACATGGGAATGCCCGAGTGCTGTGATGTCAATTCTTGACTCAGCTATGTATATATGTGTAAATATGTATATATAGGTTTATATATGTGTGTATATATACATGTATATGAATATAAATGCACATGTGTGTAAATGAAAATATTTGATGTTCCTGTTGACTTCCATTTTCCTCAGAATTGCAAGATAAGAGGATACTCTACAACAGCCTTCACAGAAATATGAGACATACTATAAGGTATCCTTGTATTAAACTTCATCAGCTAAGTGGTTCTGTCGGTTCACAGAAAAGACTGAGTATATCTTGCTTTAAACTCACTGGCTTGTTAGTAAATAAATCTTCCACAAATTCACTTACAAACATTCAACGACATTTGACAATCATTCGTGTTGCCGTGAATTGTTTCAACACTCGGACTGTACCATTGTCAAATAATTTTCAGGCAGAAGTACTGAAATTTCATCACTTTAGAGAGAACTTACTACCTTCCAGAAGTTTGCACAGCCACAATACAAATTCAAGTTACCAAATTAAACAAAATAATGCGGAGAGACTTCTGGAGATAACTTCAGGCAGCTTGAAGCTGAGGGTTCCCTTCATTTGGTTGCGGGATCACTGCAGGTCAGAGAAGTATTACAATCACAAAACTTTTCAGAAGAATGTGGACTTTGACTTGCTGAACAAAGATTTGACACCTGCCAGAGTTGATTACTTGGCTGACAATTTGGGTGTTGCGATTACATGTGAGTATTGTTGTTTAACTGGTGGAATTTTGTAGTGTTATATTTGATGTTGGGATTGTGTGTGAGTATTGTTGTTTAACTGGTGGAATTTTGTAGTGTTATATTTGATGTTGCAATTACATGTGAGTATTGTTGTTTAACTGGTGGAATTTTGTAGTGTTATATTTGATGTTGGGATTGTGTGTGAGTATTGTTGTTTAACTGGTGGAATTTTGTAGTGTTATATTTGATGTTGGGATTGTGTGTGAGTATTGTTGTTTAACTGGTGGAATTTTGTAGTGTTATATTTGATGTTGGGATTGTGTGTGAGTATTGTTGTTTAACTGGTGGAATTTTGTAGTGTTATATTTGATGTTGGGATTGTGTGTGAGTATTGTTGTTTAACTGGTGGAATTTTGTAGTGTTATATTTGATGTTGGGATTGTGTGTGAGTATTGTTGTTTAACTGGTGGAATTTTGTAGTGTTATATTTGATGTTGCAATTGCGTGTTAGTATTGTTGTTTGACTATTGGAATTTTGTAGTTTTATATTTGGTGTTGCGATTTTGTGTGATTATGGTAGAATTTTGTAGTCTTATATTTGGTGTTTGGATTTTATGTGAGTATTGTTGTTTAACTGGTGGAATTTTGTAGTGTTATATTTGATGTTGGGATTGTGTGTGAGTATTGTTGTTTAACTGGTGGAATTTTGTAGTGTTATATTTGATGTTGCAATTGCGTGTAAGTATTGTTGTTTGACTAGTGGAGTTTTGTAGTTTTATATTTGGTGTTGCGATTTTGTGTGAGTATGGTTGTGTGAGTATGGTAGAATTTTGTAGTCTTATATTTGGTGTTTGGATTATATGTGAGTATTGTTGTTTAACACTTTGCTGACCAGCAGTCCGGACCTTTACTGTCTCCCATTACCTAGTGTTTGGAGATTTTAGTCAAAATGACTGGTTTTCTAATAAAATTCATTAAAAAAAAAAAGAATGTATTGTTTTGAAACCTTCAGAGCACCATTATAAATGGTTGCTACATGTGAAAAAAAAGATATATTATGCGAATATGTCAGATGATCATGGTGGCCATCCTGAAATTGTTTGGCTATTTATAGACATTTCAGGAGTTGTTATGTAACCATCATTCTTTTCCAGTTCTTAGTGAATTTGTTCAATGTCAGTTCATTGAAATGTTAGGGTCATGGTTGGCGATGAATCAAGTTAGCTAAACAGAAGCAGTTAAATAATGATTTACCAATTTTTTCAACATGAAAAGCAAATGAATATGTAAATAAAGTGAAAAAAACTTCCTACATCTATTGTGGTTTTTTTGTCACGTTACAATGGGCCTTTGTGAACGCTTAATTATAAAAGCACCTATAGTTGAATTCTGAGCTATTTCCTTTATTAACTCGAGTTGAAGCTGTAACAGTAGCCCTCTGTCTTTGTTGGGAATGTTGATAATCGTCAGCTGTGTGGTACAGCTTGAAACAGGGTGTCAAGCATAGAGGTGTATTGCAGTCTGGGCAGTCTGGTAATCTGGTAATCTGGTAATCCTAGTTTCAGCATCATAGCAAACGTGTCACCCCATTGTTGCTCCGCTCCTGGGCAGTATATGCAAGTCCAGGAAGTCTAGAAATGACCCTGGCTGCCAGGTCGACCCTGCCTAAATTGGGTACCAGATGGGAAGTAAACGTGGTCAGCGTGATGTTGACCACATCACTCACCGAATGCTGATTTATCTATCAAATAAAAGTTTAGCACTGTATGCTGAGTACACCTAATGGCAGGGAAAAGGGACCTCGCCTCTGTAGCTCTCTACATTAGTTATTTTATCTTACCAATTAAACCCTTCTATTCTGTGCAGTCACCAGTTAAGGATTGTTTGTAGTTATTTGAATATATTCATATTATAGTGTGCCTTGTAGTATTTAAGTAATTAAAACACATACAGCTATTACTACAATATTTCTATATTTATAACTAGCTGTACCCGGCCACACGCTGCTGTGGCCCAGATTGGTGAAATGGAGAGGAAAGAAAATAGCTCTCAGCTAACAGTGTCTGTCATACCCTCTTCTTCTCCCCTCGACGGAGTCATATTTCGATCTCCGAAGGATTGAAAAATCATCCACGGCTTAACTATTAAAATAGAAATAGTTAAGAAATATGAACTTTAAAATAATATTTTAAGCTCTCTCAGCTAACTGTGTTTGGCATACTCCACCCCCCCCCCTCCCCTCCCGCTCCCCCACTCACATCTCCCTCTCCCAAAGATTGAAAAATCATCACCTGGCGAAGTCCTATCTCCCTCTTCGAAGGACTGAAAAATTATCCATGGCGAAATTATAATAAATAGAAATAGTTTAGAAGTGAGTACTTTAAAATAATATTTTAAGCTCTCTCAGCTAACTGTGTCCCACATACCCCCCCCCCCCCCACCCCTTCCCCATCATATCTCCCTCTCTGAAGGACTAAAAAATCATCACCTGGCGAAATTGTTAAAATAGAAATAGTTAAGAAATAAGAACTTTAAAATAATATTCTAAGCTCTCTCAGCTAACTGTGTCTGGCATATACACAATCCCCAATCATATCATCTTCTCCGAAGGATGGGGAAGTCACCGTGTAACGAAATATTGTAACTAAATTGAGCTTTGCATCCGTGTTTACCCAGACTTTACTACCGATGAGTGAAGAGTTTGGGTCAGATATTGCAGCCTAGCTGTAAACCACAACACAACGTGCCAACGGCCCTCTCTAGGGCGAACGAAGATTACCTGTGACATGACCATTTAGCATCACGTTGCCGCTGTCGCAGGCTAGCTGTAAACCCCAAAACCGAAAAAGGCGAAGATATCGCAGCCTAGCCATAAACCACAGCATAACGTCCCAGCCGCCCTGTTAAGGGCTAAAACAAAAATTATATCACCTAGCAGGGGATTTTTAACACGGGTCACCTGCATGATAGGCAGAATAGTTAACAACTACGCTACCAAACACTCAAGCAAATAGTGGAAATAAAATTATATAATAATGCAAAGTTCAATAAGAGCTCAGCAGTAAAATATGGCAGATCACATAAAAACAAATCTGGGCTGGCAACAAAACAAATAATGAATTGGCCGTTGCTGGAGCTACGTCATTCATGGTTTGTGCGATTTTCTTACCCAAAAAAAGGCAACGTTGTGTGCAAATTTGAAAGCAATAAGTTCAGTAGTTTCCGAGTTTCTAGCTAACAACATCGGAAAATTAACATTTTTATTAATATAGATTGTGTGTGTTATAATATAAAAGTAATGTTAGTGGATTTTAGAAGGCAGTGCATTCTCGTTTGCTGCTAAGAATGCAAGAATTGGGACTAAAGGTTGGCATAGCTAAGCATGAGAGATGTACCAGCCATACAAGAAAACTTGTCAACCAGCGTTGAACTGGCACTAATAACCGTGAGATGCTAATGTGTATGTGGAGGGGGTGGGAGTCTGAGCACCTATGGACATGTCTGAAGTGCAGTGAAAATATCCCATCTCATAAAGGTCATTTTCTTCTCCTCCTACTTGTTCATCACCTGTAATCTCCTTTGGAAAGTTCTTGTTGTTCTTCCACTTCCTGGACTTGTTTCAAAACTTGAGTTTTTGTTTGATATCTTTTTTTTTTTTTAAGCAAATCTGACTTAAGTGTTTGCAGACTTGATTTCTTGCTTCTAAGGCGCAAATGCACTGCTACTATAAATTAACATGTTAAATATTGTAGCATGTAAGGATAAAAGGGTGTGAGGAGTGTATTTTAACTGTATTACATTATTGCACAGCTGAACAATATATATATATATATATATATATATTATTTATTAGTATTTTAGTCTTAATTATAGCATTGGAGTAATTATGGAATATACAAATTGTAACATCTATAAATGCTCTAGAAAATACATATTTTAATATTATTTATGAGAATAGTTAGTATACATATATATATAGTTATGTGTGTGTATCTCATGTATATAATCTGAGAGTCTTTTAGTATTGTAAATATTGTATATAAGTGACACCTGTTCAGCTGGATTATTCTATTTCCAGTTTATTAACATAAAAGTAAAGCTGACAAAAGACCCTGCATGCCTCCTTATGTAGTCTAATATTGATGTGGCTGAAACATTTTTCAGGGAAAGATGAACACGTTTCTGAATTCACATTTGAATTTCTGTTGGACAACTTTTATCCCGGGCGTAGTTGTCATAAGACAGAAAGACTGTTGTGGAACAGAGCTGTGATTGAGTCGCACGGGCTGCCTGAAGTATCATTCGACCACCATGTGGGCCTAGAATCTGGCCTGAAGCAGTCTCTGGTGAATCTTGTCAAATACGGATTCACTTTTGTTCAGGGTGTGAGTATTGTTTGTTTTTGTAGCTTTATGTGTGGGATGTCTGGTGTTTGCAGAGATGAGGTGTCTTAGATGAACTGCTGGAATAACAAGAAAATGAAATAAAATCACAAGTGAAGACTAGAAATGAAACTAGTCATTTATATTAGTTAAGTTAGTTAATTGACAGATTATCCTTACTGCACGTTGGACAAGTCCATAAGTGCTCAGATCACATCTTCAGTATATCCCTCAGACTGTGGCGACTGATAACACCAGTTCTGTGTTGGTTTACTATTCTTCTTTAACTGCCTGTATGGTGATCATGTTTGGGGACACATCTTTTGAGTGTTGTCGATTTATGTTGTCTCTTGAATCATTTTCTTCTCCTGCCTCCTTGAGAGCATTGAGAATATCGACCCAGTCCATTGCTTTTCCTGCACCCACCATGGCCCTGCCATCAAGCCAATCCGCTCATCATTTCTTCATACCCGAGTGTACCGGCATAAAAATGAAACTAATTCCTTTCAGATGAGATTTCCTCAGCGACTCCTACCATTTTCTTTAAATCCATCCTATCTTTATCTTCTTGAGCAAGCTCATGGAGTTACTTAGAAAGCATTCATATAATCATATAGTTTATTAAAGAGTTACAAATAAGATGGGTTGGCCATCAGATAAAAAGGCCTCGGCACCAACCACCATAGAGAGCCGCTCTAGGGAAAAAAGTATAAATGGACACAAAGCCAGGGGAAGACCATGCAAATAATGAGATATTGAGGTCAAGAACAACAACCTTAGGAAAATGAAGATTAACTTATGCAATACACGCAGTTCTAACACACACGCACACACACCCACACACACCCTCAACACTGTGATGAGTAAACTGGAAGAAGGAGAAGTTTGCTTGTGTCTACAGGTGCTGCCTACACAATGAAGACTGGCTGCAGTATATCTCCAACACTCTGACTGTCCACTCTAAGTGTGCTGTTTTTTTTCTTTATTCAATTTTTCACATTTACTTCTGAGGCTTTAATGAACGTAAAATTGTGACAACAGAGATGAAATGCCTTAGAAGAGCTGCAGGAGTTTCAAGGAAAGACAGAATATGAAATCACAAACATAGTAAAATGCTAGGAATAACGCCAGTCCTACAGGTCATCAAAGAACAACAGATAAAGTGGTTTAAACATCTAAAAATAATAACCTGGTACTATATACCACAGCAAGCCAAACTAAATTGTTACAATGGGTAAAGAGCAAGTGGAAGACCTAGAAAAATATTGAGTGATGGCATTAAGAACAGCCTTACAGAAATAAACATCAATCTTAATAGTGCTCTCGACAGAATCATCAACCAGCGTTACACACCCCTCCCCCCTTCCCGACACTTCACTGAGGTACAAGGTGGAAGAGAAGAAGAAGACTTCTGGGCCTTTCGGTGGGGAGATGGTCAGGCCGTCTGCCTTGCGCTGAGAAGGTCATGGGTTCGTTTCATGGCCGCACTGTTCAGTTCATGACTGCAATTTTTACGGAGATCACTGGAGGCCAGAGCTAAGGAGTTCATGCTTTGTGCTACGCTCTCTGCAGGCCGCTAGTCGTTCTGTGGAGAGAGACCGAACCAAACGTTGAATGGCCATGGCCATTGAGTTAACCGTATGTGTCGATTCCTCCCCACCAAATATATGGTTGACACATTCCGTTTCTGGGGACAGCTTTTATCGAGTTTGCTCTCTAGACAGTTGCAGTCCCCCTGCTGACGAGATTCTGTCTTCCCGAGTGGACCGCCGCGCTCAAAACATTGCGAAGGCAGCTTGGACGAGGCTGCCCAAACTATCGGTCATTATCCCGCCCCGACACAGCACAACCACAATACACACTGCTCCCACGAAAAACACATAGTATCCTGCTTTGGAAATGCGCACAAAGTAGCAGTTCATGATTACGAAACAGAATAATCCGAGAGAATTGACAGCAAACGACAATAAACACAGATGCTGTCCGCCATTTTGAAACGGTGGAGACCAAACCATATGGTATAAAAACTGATGCAGTGAAGTTGATCCTGTCGACTTGAACTTCAACGTTACTTCCCAAGGCAGTCAATTTCTCATACTCATTTTAAGCTGGCTGATATAGAAGCCAAGGTCAATTTTTCTACGGAAACCCCATTTCTGCTGCTTTTTCATTTTTTGGCTTGTTTGCGTATTGTTCATATTTCACATGTATGATTATTTGACTAAACAGACGTTTACAGTTTTTATTAAAAGTACCTATTTGCAAATTTTACAGGCGCCGGTTTCTGTGGAGGGCACACAGGAAGTTGCAGAAAGAGTTGCCCCTGTGTTCAAAACCATATTTGGTAAAATGTGGGTGTTCACGGCTGATGGTTCCCATAATGACACAGCATACTCGACACAACATCTGGGTGCCCATACAGACAACACATACCTGACCTCACCTGCCGGGTATGTTAAGTAGGACTAGCACTTGTTAGTAGCTTGTATAAAGGAAAAATATGTTTGTTGGGTCACGTTTAATTAGGGACATGTGGCTGGAAGATTGCAGTGTTTCCCTGGTGCTCAGGTTGTTTAGTTTAGATCAGGCATTCTTTCCTGAAGGTTGTGTCTCCAGGTGCTTGATTTTCTCAGTGACTCTTGGAGCTACGCCAGTGATATTGCAACTACCAACAGAGCCTCCTAAATCGGATGGGTCAGAGGGTGGAGAACTGATTAAGAGAGACACTCTGGTTCCCCAGGTTGTAGTTGAAGCATAGAATATATGTCTCCCACCTTGGTAAAACAGATAGCAGTTTTTTAATTACAAACCTCCATTGTCCAGTGGATAGATGTTGGTTACCGTGGACTAAGGAAGCTCATCCTAACATAAAAGCCTGCTTAAATCAAAAGATTAAAAGAAAAAAGGTTAAAGTCTAGAGGATCAACTTTGTTGCACCAGGTTTTATCCCATAAGGCTTGATCTCTCTTTGCAATATGGCTAGTCGCCTGCTGAGAGCGCTACACAGAGCACAAACTCTGTAGCTTTGATGTTGATCCCCAGGGATCTCCGTAAAAATTGCACTCGTGAACAGAAGGGCAAAGCTGGGAAATGAACCCATGAGCTTCAGAGCACAAGGCATATGGCTTGACCACTTCGTCACGGAGACCGCCATACTTTTCTGTTAGATGAGCGTTCTTAGTCCATGGTCAGCCAAGTCCTGTCCGCAGGAAAATTGAGGTTTATACTTAACCTCTCTGTGACCTTTGTAATATATCAAGTATCGTGTCAAAAAGCTCTTATTTTCAAAGTTTGCTTTCTTGAATAAGGGCCAAAAAACAAAACAACTGATGGTCCTATGTGCTAGCTTTGCTCATTAAAGGTTCCATGGCAGTTGGAAATCATATGGAGTAGACCACGAGGCCACTGTGACAAAATTGTTAAGGGGGTAAATCTACATATAATTAAATGAAGCCTGTTACATTAAATGGAAACATTTGGAAAATAAACTATACACAGATGCAGGTCAAAGTTAAATACACTGGCCTCTGTTGTGCTTAGCTAGGTTTGTACCCCCCCCCCTCCCCCCTTCCCCTTTTTCCCTACCTCCCCAACCAACAGGAGTCCTGTTGTTTCAATGTATGTTGTTTCAGCTTAGTACCTGGAAATTGTTGCATCAGTACATTCCATCACAGTGCTTTTTTCTTGCTATATAGCATCTTAAATTACAGGTGTGGGTACCGTACATTAGTGTAACAAATAAATGGGGTTGAAGAGACTTTATACAGTGTAAAGGGCAACCACTGATGATGTGTTGGCTGGTGCTCAGTGAGTTAAATTAGAATTGAGACTCCCAGATAGTTTTGTATGAATGTTATTAGTAATTTGTGAGTGTTAAGTATTTTGATGGGTTTTTTTCTTTCCTTCGAAGTCAGAGTGCATCTGCCTAAAAAGCAAGGAACCAACAGTCTTCATGTAAATATGTTAGATCTGTAAAACTAATGTGCATGCAAAACTGAATTTCTGGAACAATATTAAGTCAAGAAATGGACGAACAACAATGGACTTTCCGCCAGAGTTTACACTAAGGAGATGAAGGATATTCTAAACAAGACTTGCGAGTGCAAAAGGAAATGAACAGGTGGACACACTGGCTGGTTCTGTATCACTTGGTGGTAAACTGATGCAGGACAAACTAGATAATGTCAAGGCCTTTTGGGAGAGAGTGAACATTACGGAATCACAAATAGTTCATCACAGGCCAACGAGAAGGAGGCAGCGGGAAGTGACTAAGGGATCTGGTTGGCATTTAGTGCCCAGAGGGAAAGGCAGAACAAGCACCCGATAAGACTGCTACTGGTACCATCGAAACTGGAGCTCTGTGCTGGCTGCTGAAGAGGGGAGAGAGGGACAGAGCGTTTATGGGAATATACCAAGTATTGCGATATCGGTTCATAACTCAGTTCAACCCTTGCTTAGATTGGTGAATTTTGTGTTTTATGATTGAGGAGTTCAGTTTTAGTGATTGGTGAATTGTATGTTAATGGTTGGTAAAGAAAAGTAAAGGTCCCTTTTCCACACCCTTAGGCGTATATGGCATATAGGGCTAGACCTATGTTTTTATAGACCAATCGGCACAAGATGGGTGATGTGGTCAGCATCACGCTGGCCACCTTTACTTTCCCAGGACTGCACTCGGTACCCACTCAAGGCTGGGTCGACCTGGGAGTCAAGGTGGTAATGGCTGCTAGATAATGTAAATCATAAAGACCCTATTCCGTGGGTGATAAATCTTTAGGTGGCAGCCCGGAGAGAGGGGAACAGACAGATAGATATATTAGTCTCTGTCAGAGTTCTTTTTGGTTGGCTGCATTTCCAGCTTCAGCAGAACCTTAGCTTGGTTGCCTCTCTTCTACTTCTTTGGCATTCATCTTCACAAGGGAGGTTAGCATATAGTGTTGTGGCTACGATATCAGTATCTTTCATTCTCCTAAAGCATCCAGTTGAATCAGATCCTAAATTATTCGCCTTTTATGACAATGTTGAGGAGCAGTAGGTAGTCCCTACCCACCACCCATAAAAAACAACACTTAGGCCTTGGAACTCATACATAAAATGACCTCTTTTAATACGGAAAGATGAATAAGGCAGTAGAACAGAAAATAACTACATATGAAATGCACTGTTTTTGTAAGATCACTAACACCACAAGAAGGGACAGGGTTACAAATGCCAGCATTCGTGAAAGTCGGAATAAGGCTGTGTCTGAATTATATTGACAGACAAACAATGAAATGGTTTGGACATCTAGTCAGAATGCAGCCACATCAAACTGCATAGCAGACTACAGCAAAACATCCGGGTGTGAGGCGAGGGAAAGACCACGAAAGAGATGGACAAATGTTGTAGCTGCAACCTTGTAAAAACATGAAGAATTCCACCACCCGAGCTGTTCGTTACGTGACCTCGGCTGTCATCGTGTTTTGTTACTGACCTTGGCTGCCATAGTGTTCTCTTACGTGATCTAGGCTACCACGATGTTTTGTTACGTGACCTAGGCTACCACAGTGTTCTGTTACGTGACCTAGGCTACCACAATGTTTTGTTACATGACCAGGCTGCCACAATGTTTTGTTACGTGACCAGGCTACCACAGTGTTCTGTTACGTGACCTAGGCTACCACAGTGTTCTGTTATGTGACCTAGGCTACCACAGTGTTCTGTTACATGACCTAGGCTACCACAGTGTTCTGTTACATGATCTAGGCTACCACAGTGTTCTGTTACGTGACCTAGGCTACCACAGTGTTCTGTTACGTGACCTAGGCTACCACAGTGTTCTGTTACGTGATCTAGGCTACCATAGTGTTCTGTTACGTGATCTAGGCTACCACAGTGTTCTGTTACATGACCTAGGCTACCACAGTGTTCCAGTATTCTGTTACGTGACCTAGGCTACCACAGTGTTCTGTTACGTGATCTAGGCTACCATAGTGTTCTCTTACGTGATCTAGGCTACCACAGTGTTCTGTTACATGACCAGGCTGCCACAGTGTTCTGTTACGTGACCTAGGCTACCACAGTGTTCTGTTACGTGACCTAGGCTACCACAGTGTTCTGTTACATGACCTAGGCTACCACAGTGTTCTGTTACGTGACCTAGGCTACCACAGTGTTCTGTTATGTGACCTAGGCTACCACAGTGTTCTGTTACGTGACCTAGGCTACCACAGTGTTCTGTTACGTGACCTAGGCTACCACAGTGTTCTGTTACATGACCTAGGCTGCCACAGTGTTCTGTTACGTGACCTAGGCTACCACAGTGTTCTGTTACGTGACCAGGCTGCCACAGTGTTTTGTTACGTGACCAGGCTGCCTCAGTGTTCTGTTACGTGACCTAGGCTACCACAGTGTTCTGTTACGTGATCTAGGCTACCACAGTGTTCTGTTACATGACCTAGGCTACCACAGTGTTCCAGTATTCTGTTACATGACCTAGGCTACCACAGTGTTCTGTTACATGACCTAGGCTACCACAGTGTTCTGTTACATGACCTAGGCTACCACAGTGTTCTGTTTGACCTAGGCTACCACAGTGTTCTGTTACGTGATCTAGGCTACCACAGTGTTCTGTTACATGACCTAGGCTACCACAGTGTTCCAGTATTCTGTTACATGACCTAGGCTACCACAGTGTTCTGTTACATGACCTAGGCTACCACAGTGTTCTGTTACATGACCTAGGCTACCACAGTGTTCTGTTTGACCTAGGCTACCACAGTGTTCTGTTACGTGATCTAGGCTACCACAGTGTTCTGTTACATGACCTAGGCTACCACAGTGTTCCAGTATTCTGTTACATGACCTAGGCTACCACAGTGTTCTGTTACATGACCTAGGCTACCACAGTGTTCTGTTACATGACCTAGGCTACCACAGTGTTCTGTTTGACCTAGGCTACCACAGTGTTCTGTTACATGACCTAGGCTACCACAGTGTTCTGTTACGTGACCTAGGCTACCACAGTGTTCTGTTACGTGACCTAGGCTACCAGTGTTCTGTTACGTGACCTAGGCTACCAGTGTTCTGTTACGTGACCAAGGCTACCACAGTGTTCTGTTACGTGACCTAGGCTACCAGTGTTCTGTTACGTGACCAAGGCTACCACAGTGTTCTGTTACGTGACCTAGGCTACCACAGTGTTCTGTTACGTGACCTAAGTTGTCACACAGAAGTCATATCTTCTTTCTTCGTCTTCTTAGCATTCACAAGCTGTAAACTCTGGCCGAAAGTTCTGGTTGTTCGTTCACTCCTGGACTTTGGTCTTGATGTGCTGTATAGGGAATTTAAAAGACGCACACAAACACAACCAAACGTTTCGACCAAAGTCTTTATCAGCGGAGTACTAAATACAGCACAAACTGTGACTAGAAAACTCAGCGGTGAGAAGCACAAGATAAATACAGAAAACCACGACACAAGGCTACAACTTGGTGTCAGTGAGATGACAAAAGAATAAGAAAAAGTGAGGCTAAGTAGTTTCTATTAACATTTTCCCCCACATGTAATACAGAATTCAAGTCTTTCAGTGCTTTGAGCACAATGGAGCTGGGGGTGAAACCTTACTGGTTGATGGATTCAGTGCACTTGAACTTCTGAGGACATCAGATCCAACTGCCTTTCGGTTGCTGTGTCAGACTGTGATACCTCATGAATACATTGAGAGCCCAAGTGAAGTTAGCCCAGGGTATCACCTCTACACCCTGGGTACAGTCATCTCCACACACCCAGCAACGGGGGAACTGTTGCAGATCAGGTGGGTAGCAGGTTTTAGAATGTGAGTGTCTGGTTTTGTTGCAACAGTAATGTAGTCCAGATTTTGATGTTGTCATTCTTCTTCTCTAGTTCTGTGTTATCTTTCAGAGTCAGGTCTTGAAGAGGTTTGGGTTCGAGCCTTTTTATGTGTAGGTGCTAGTATTTATCATCATCATCATGGCGTAGGCGCTGATGCGTCTCCACAGATCACGATCACTGGTTGCCTGGAACGGCTCTCTTGATGATATCCCTCCATGCTATCGTTTCAGCCCATCCAGTAGCATCTCTCTTGGTCTGCCTCTACCCCTTTTTCCACTGATATTTCCAATTATCACGATGTTCTCCAATGTCTCTCTTCAAATTATGTGGTCAAAGAACAGTGTATGACTCTTTCTTATTGTTGTATATAGAGATCTACTTTCATTAGCTTTTTTCAAGCAATCGTTATTTGTTACTCTGGCCGTCAAGGTATTCGTAACATTCGCCTCAGAAACCACATCTCTTTTGCTTCAAAATTCTTTTTAATTTGTTCAGTGACATTCCAAGATTCGCTGTCATATAGACAGAACAGGTTCTGTCTAACATTTTAGCATCCTCTTCTGGTATATTTATGGCATCGGATATTCCATCTATCCATTGCTTGCGTGGTTGACCTCTGGCTCTGCTTCCATTATGTCTGAGTGACAGGGCTTTCTGTGGTGCACTATCTGGTGGTAGTCTTGGCACATATCCAAACCATTTGATCTGTTGTCTCTTGATGTAGTTTAATACTGCTTCCATCCCAACTTCTTTCCTGGTATCGTCATTTCTGATTCTGAATCTTCTAGTTACAATACCTATCTTATTTCCACAGTGGAAGTTGGCTGCAGCAAAAATGGCCATAGGCAGTTGACCATTAAAAAAAAGTAAAGGACCCGTTTCCATGCCTTTAGGCGTGTAGGCATATAGTGCTAGACCTATATTTTTATAGACCAATCGGCACAAGATGGATGATGTGGTCAACATAACGCCGGCTGCCTCTACTTCCCGGGACTGCACACGGTACCCACTCAAGGCTGGGTCGACCTGAGAGCCAAGGTCATTTTAGAAAAAAGTCCGGCTCCACCAGGGAGCGAACCCACGATCTTCTTTTTTTTTTTTTTTTTTTCATCGAACACCGGCTGTGAATTCCAGTGGAAGGTCCCGGTTAATCGTCCGCTTGGACTTTTGGCCTTCACCTGGACCTGATTTTTGCGTGTACAACCGTTTTTAATTTCCCTGCCTCTTGGGCAGCTGTACGCCGACTTCGAAGGAAGACGTCAGGCCTATTTCTAGGGTGACTGTGGCCATTGTTTTGTGTGGGTCGAGACTGCCTGATTTGTGTGGTGTCCGCCTTGTCTCCTTCGCCGCAGGTATTGCCCCCGGAGTACCCCTTTGGGGCAACCCCCTGTGGAACAGTTGGCCCTCAAGGGAAGGCAGGGGCAGATCATGGGCATTCCCCGCCATCCAAGGAGGCTTCCATGCATGCAGAGCCGGCACATGGCGCTCTGGTTCTGGGCTCACCCAAGGAATCGTCACGTCCTGCACATGCCTGCTTAACCTCACAACCGTATCAGGCCTCCCGCTCGACAGGAGCTGCGCCCTCTGGAAGTCAGCGGGGAGCAGCCCGTTGGTTTTGGACTTTTGTGACCACACAGATAGGTACATTAGCCCGGCAGAATTTCACATCCTGAATCAGGCATATCGTTATCAGTTTTGTCCCAACACTCGGGCGAGTGGGGTCTTTGGGTATGGACATTCGGCCTTTTGCATTTCAGTGCAAATTTTGATGGTCAGATTTTGATCCGTATGATCTAGTTTTGTCGGACATTTAGGCTTAGCCATCCGATGGATGGTTGCTGTTGTGGTGTACCCCAGCGCAGTGACGACGACACTGAGGGTTAACCGAGGATGTACGTGACTGGCCAGCCTATGGATGGTTGCTGTTGTGGTGCACCTCAGCTCGGTGACGACGACACTGAGGGCCAACCAAGGATGCACAAGGATGGCCAGCCCATGTATGGTTTCTGTTGTGTTGAATCTCAGCGCGGTGACGACGACACTGAGAATTAACCGAGGATGAGCATTGAGCAATGTTCTCTTTACTCAGCAGTCTTTTAACCAAGGGTTGTGATTTTAGCTGTACTTTTGTCGAACCTACTCATGTTCCTAATGAGTTTTGATAACATTTTTCACCCAAGCGTTTGGGGGCGGGCTGGTGAGAGCCACAAGGACACGTCACCTCTGGGGGCCGCCAAACTCCGAGATCCCCTGACAGCTCTGTTAATGCTCATTTGAGACATTATCCGTGGCGCACGACGAGGACGTGCTGTAGGGGTCTTGCGTGAGGTTCCGTACAACCAGGATAGTAAAGGACTGGCGCCCGAGTGCGTACGGAGTATCTCCTTATACACATAATGTTGGACTTAACTTCCCCTCACGCCTGTGACATAAATCACCGCGCCACCCACGATCTTCTGATACGCGGCGAGTGTCTAGCCGCTCCACCATGGGGACTCCCCAGTTGACCATACTACCCAACAAATGCCTATTTGTCTATACAAATGGGTGTGCATCATATCCCCTAGGCACCACTGGCATAAAAAAAGTAGTGGATTGACTATTTACTACACTTGGTGCAGATTTCTGAAGATTTTCCTTTGTTACATTAATCCTTTCTGAATTGCTGTTTTAACTAATTCTGCTCATTATTTATCATTTAAATTTACTGGGATTCTTCTTCTACTTTGTGTTCACTGGCTGTAAACTCTGGAGGAAAGTTCTTAGTGTTCATTCAGTTGATCTTATTCCAAAAGTTGGAAGTTTTACATGCACATTCACTTCTCCAGTTTGTCTTATCTGTACGCAGACTGTTGGTCCCTCACCTCTCAAACAGATGCACTCCCACCTTGAAGGAAACACCCCTAATTAGCTGCCTTGTATGACATGCTTGTTAGAGTTAGGGGGTAATGGTTCTATTTCTCCCTCCCCCCCCCCCCCCAAAAAAAAAAAATAGGGTCCCCAGAATCTAGGACCTAGGACTAAAAGACTGTTACTCTGTATTGGACAAACTGTAACTGGTATCTGGGATTGAAAGATTCAGTTTGATCTTGTTCTGCAGTGTGTTGAAACAGCCTCCATGAGCACAGCAGTGAACTTATTCAGATAAAGCCTGTGCATATGCTTGTTTAGTCTGATGGCACCTCTGAATCCACAGATTCACGATGAGAAAGATTCACTTTATGTATCCTGAAGTGGCAGAATGACATCCTCAGTCACTTTAAGCCCACTCAGAAAGATAAACCTCCTTATAAATGAATACAGCAAGTCAAAGCAATCAGTATGTTCAAAACAATGTTTTTCTACTGTAAATTAAAAAAAATTTTACAACCACTAATGAGCGGAAGATCGTAAAAACAGATGAGCTGTTTTAGGAGAGCTGCCGGTGTGACAAGAAGAGATAAAATCAGGAATAATTAAATTAGAAGAAGACTAGGACGGAACCAGTCATTAAAGAACAGCAAATGAGATGGTTTGGGCACCTGATGAGAATGCCCTGGTGCCACCTACCAGAGAGCCACTCTGAAGAAGTATAATAAACACAGAGCCAGGGGAAGACCACACAAGACATGGAGCGACATCATCAGGAGCAACCTAACAGAAATGAACACCGCAACTTGTACAATGCATTGGAAAAAGCACATAAATGATCCATCTACCCCCTACACCTTGATGAGGTAAATGGTGGAAGAGAAGAAGAGGAAGAAAGAAATTTAAATAACGGAGACGCAAACAGTACATTGTACAATTTATTGCCTGGCCTTTTTCGCTGTATCTCAGAGCTTCGCTAGTGGCCTAGATAAGTATCATCTACTTCATAGAAGCACGTAGTTTATTAGTATTTTATCATAGTCATGTACATAATACTCTATGTAGTCAGGTCATAGTTACTGTATATTTTTGTGTTTATGCTGTGTTGACATTGCTGATGAAGGCTAATCGCCGCAGCATCCTTTGTTCCATTGTAATAGATTTTGTAAAGCTGACATAAAACTGTTTGTTTTTCCTTACCCTTTTTTTTTCTTTTCCCTATAATTGTGTATCTTTGAAAAAAAAAATGCATTTCTTTGAGACTGTTATTGATGCCATCGTTCTATTTTTGCATGGTCTTCCCCTTGGTCTGTGTCCATTATATATTTCTTAGCATGGCTGTCTGTAGCCATGTACCAGGGCATTCTCATCACATGGTCAAACTATCTCATTTTTTGCTCTTTAAAGACTTGTATAACTGGTTTAAGTCCTAGTCTTCTGATTTATTCACTTTTGTTTTATCTCTTCCCCGTGTGGGTTCCTGGGCCTCATTGAAGGAGGGGGGGGGGGGGGACGGGTGAGAATAGACCCACCACCTCCTTGACAAGCATTTTATAAGTTTACTATAATTTTTTTTTTTTTTTTTTTTTTTTCGAAGCTGGAATGAGAGGTGAGGAACCAACAGTCTGCATATAAAAAAAGCCAGATCGGTAAAACAAATGTACTTGCAAAACTCAAAAGTTCTGGGGAAAATACTTAAGTCCAGAAGTGGACAGACAACCAGAACATTCTACAGAAGTTTACAGCCAGTGAATGCAATGAAAGAATTTATCTCTTATCATTATTCCTGCAGTTCTTCTAAATACATTTGATCTCTGTTCTGATTTTTTTCCACTCAGTTGTCATGAGTCCATCTGTTGACACGTGTTTGAAAACAGTGACACATTTCTCTTTCAGATATAACCCATACGATCGTGCGCCACTGAACACTGTCAGACCAGATGATGTCCAAGCATTCTATGAAGCCTATAGTAAACTGTCAGGGGTGATCGCAGACCCAAGCAATGAATTGTGGGTGAAGTTAAAACCAGGATCTGTACTGCTTATCGACAACTGGCGGGTCATGCATGGCCGTGCCGCGTTTGAAGGCAGGCGTATCATGGGAGGCTGCTACCTGCCCAGAGATGAGTGGTTGTCAAAGGCAAGGTTGCTGGCTGTTTTATGAAAGGCTGTTAAGATATAAGAGGTTGTCCAACACAATATTACTGGCTGTTTTATGAAACGCTGTTAAGATATGAGAGGTTGTCCAACACAATATTACTGGCTGTTTTATGAAACGCTGTTAAGATATGAGAGGTTGTCCAACACAATATTACTGGCTGTTTTATGAAACGCTGTTAAGATATGAGAGGTTGTCCAACACAATATTACTGGCTGTTTTATGAAACGCTGTTAAGATATGAGGGATTGTCCAATGCAAGGTAGCTGGCTGTTTTATGAAACGCTGTTAAGATATGAGAGGTTGTCCAACACAATATTACTGGCTGTTTTATGAAACGCTGTTAAGATATGAGGGATTGTCCAATGCAAGGTAGCTGGCTGTTTTATGAAACGCTGTTAAGATATGAGAGGTTGTCCAACACAATATTACTGGCTGTTTTATGAAACGCTGTTAAGATATGAGGGATTGTCCAATGCAAGGTAGCTGGCTGTTTTATAAAAGGCTGACCAGAAATGAGGGATTGTCAAAAGCAAGGTTGCTAGCTATTTCATGAAAGGCTGTCCAGAAATGAGAGGTTGTCAAAAGCAAGGTTGCTAGCCATTTTATGAAAGGCTGTCCAGAAATGAGAGCTTGTCAAAAGCAAAGTTGCTAGCTGTTTTATGAAAGGCTGTCCAGAGATGAGTGATTGTCAAAGGCAAGGTTGCTGGCTGTTTCATGAAAGGCTGTCCATAAATGAGGGGTTGTCAAAAGCAAGGTTGCTAGCTGTTTTATGAAAGGCTGTACAGAGATGAGTGGTTGTCAAAGGTAACAGTTGTTGGTTGTTTATGTCCAAATTTGATTTCATGTCAGAAGCAAAAATTGTTGGTTGTTGAAAGAATGTCCAGTGATGAGTAGTTGTCAGAGTCACATTTGCTGGTTGTTTATGTCCAAATATATATTGGTGTTCATTAAAGACCTGATGCAGACAGAGATTAGTGATTTTTTTAAAGCCAAGGTTGCTGTCTGTTTTATGAAAGACCTTATGCAGAGATTAGTTATTGTCAAAAGCAAAGACGAAGTTTGTGTCATTAAATACTCTGATCCAAGTTGAGAGGTTATCCAGGACTGTTGCCTATTTCATGAATTTGTGTTGACAATCACTTAAACTGTTGAAGGGAGTGGAAGAATTGCACCAGAAAACAGGTACGTGGAGTGTCTTATCTTTGTATAAATAAAATTCCTAATTTCTTTTAGTGTCAAGTACTGAAGACATCTTTGAATTGTGAAACTTTTTTTTTTGGAGTTTATATGAAGTTTATATGAAGTTCTAATGAGCATTAATTTACCTATTAAACCACAAACTAGCAATACATGTTGGGAGTAGCAAAGGACATTTAGTTAATATATTATTATTATGTAATGTTTTAGATCTGTCTGTTTTCTTACCCAAGTCTGGTTATTAATAGTTCTTGTCAGGACTCACAGGCATGAAATGTGATTTGTCAAATCTCCTGGGTAATAGGTTAATTGGTGAACATGTGGTTCCTGACTGTGAAGTATCACATCTTTTAAAGTTTTGTAATCTGTGAGTTACTTAAGTACTTCACTGAAAACTACATACATTTTTGGCATACATAAGCCTGGGTAATTGGTTGAATGGTGAACTCTTTATTCTTGACTGTGAAGTATCACATCTTGTAAAGTTTTGTAGTCCGTGAGTTACTTAAGTACTTTACTGAAAACTCATAAATTTTTCGCAGACATGAGCCTGGGTAATTGGTTAAATGGTAAACACATGGTTCCTGACTGAGAAGTATCACATCTTTTAAAGTTTTGTAATCTGTGAGTTACTTAAGTACTTCACTGAAAACTACATACATTTTTGGCATACATAAGCCTGGGTAATTGGTTGAATGGTGAACTCTTTATTCTTGACTGTGAAGTATCACATCTTGTAAAGTTTTGTAGTCTGTGAGTTACTTAAGTACTTCACTGGCAACTACATGCATTTTCAGCATACATAAGCCTGGATAATTGGTCAAATGGTAAACACATGGTTTCTGACTGAGAAGTATCACATCTTGTAAAGTTTTGTAATCTGTGAGTTACTTAAGTACTTCACTGAAAACTACATACATTTTTGACAGACTTAATTGTTTCTTCTGCCTTTTGTTCCCCAATAAAGTGTTGGTTGGAGCGCCCTCAATATTATTAACCTGTCTCTGATTCTTTTATCTATGTGTTTTAGGTCTCCCTATATTTCATTTACCTGTGGGTTCTAGAGGATCAGTTTTTCAAATAAACTGTTAACAGAATTTTCGCAATGAACATTCTTTTTAGACCTCAGCATTTGTCATTTTATATAGAGTTGCTCTTTCACAGACGTTATCTACAGGGATTAGACAGCAGCTTCACATAAATGCACACAGTATTGTAAAAATTTATATTTGGTCAGAGTTTGTGTATATCCCAGTGAATTTTATGCACCTAAATCACACTGTAAACTCGATTCATTTGTGAGTGTTTGTGCATGTTAGGGGTGGGGTAGGGGTCCAGTTTGTATGTATATGCACACACGGTTGTTAATAGGTTTGTTAGCTGTTTGTGTCATCATCATCATCATCATTTTCCACTTTCGCTGTTAAGCGAACAGTTTGTGATCCATTGCTTGATTGGTAGCAATGACTATTGTCTCGTTTGGTGGCGGTGTAAAAGCTCTATTATGTCATCAGTCCATCTTCTCCTAGGGCGACCTGTTGCTTTCACATCAGATCTTTTCATGTGTAGTGCCTGTGTTGGTAGTTCTACCGAGATGACCCAAAAAAAAAAAACTGTTTGCGTATACTGGGGCTATTGAACTGGCGGCCCGAAGGTTAAATCTGGCCAGCGGAGGTCAAGCAAGTGGCCAGAGGATATTTGATGGTTTTATTGTAATAGCGAGCTTTCTATGCAAAGGATTAGGCCTCTGGCCCTCGGTGATCCCCATTTTCCAAATGTTGTCCCCATGAGTAAACTAAGTTGAATAGCATTGGTGTATTATGTTATTGTATAGATGTAACAGAAACATGGAGACTGTCGCACATGAATTGAGTTGATTCAAGAACCAACCTCACAGCACTTTGGGCATTCTCATAAGAGCTCCATCCCCATCTTCAGCAGCCAGTGAAGAGTTCCGATACTAATGGTGCCAGTAGCATTCTGATTAAACGTCTGTCTTGCCTTTCCTCTGAGCCTCCAGCATCTGCCAGAACCTCTCGTCACTCTCCCCCCCCCCCCCCCCCCCCCCCCCGCATCAGTCTCACCAGACTGGTGATCCTTCTGCTCCTCCGAACTGTACCAGCTCTCCCAACTGTACATGCTCTCCCACAAGGCACTAACCACGTCTGCCTTATCGTGCATCAGTATTCCACCAAGTTGTGCAGAGCCAGCTAGTCTGTCTGCCTGTTCATTTCCCAACACACCGGCGTCTCCCAGATAAAAAAATCCAGACATTACTCTTCACCTGTGTCCTCTGCAGTGAAGCATGCCACTCTGCACAAAGCTGTTGCACATGAATGCACACACAATATTGGAAAGTCTTTGTGAGTGCTATATTGATCTAACAAAATGTGTGTGGGTTCCAGATCCACACACATGATCTAAACAGCTTTTGTGAATGCTAATTGATCTTACAGAAGTGTGTGGGATCCACACTTTAAGTGTTGTAAACATTCTTCGTGAATGCTATAATGATCTAACCGTAGCGTGTGGGGGCCAGACCCAGTATTATAAACGTGTTTGTGTTTATAGATTGATTGTCTAGATTATGTTGATCTAACAGAAGTGAGAAAATAATCATTTTATTGTTCTTCATATCATTTAGTTATTGTGATTAGTTTTTGGTTCATGTTTGTTTGTTCAGTTGTGTAGTCTGCGTCACTTTGTGGTCTAATTGTTCACTTCTTTGGTCTGACATGTTTTTTCCATTTTTCTGGTGTGTTTTTTTTTTTTTTTGACCTCTCTGGTCTGTTTATTCTTTTATCTCATCTGTTTACTTATCTGGTCTGTTTTTATTTTTTTTACTTATCTGGTCTGTTTTTTTTCTTCTGGTCTGTTTGTTTACTTATCTGGTATGATTTAGTCCATTTGTTTACTAATCTGATCTGGTCTGTTCACTTGTTGGGTCTGTTTGTTCACTTCTCTGGTCCATTTGTTTGTCCACTTATCTGGTCTGTTTGTTTGTTTACTTGTTAGGTCTATTCATTTTTTGGTTCTGTTTTTGCGCTAGGCTTGCTTGTCTCTACTGAAGGAAACTGTTATCTTCACCGAAAGAAGGAACTTTTAAAGAAGATGTCAAGCTAGTTAGCTAGGCTCCCATTCCCATATCTCCAGGCAGGTGGTGTTACTACCATATGTTATACAGGGTGTCCTATAAGTTTCTAAACACATATCCTGCATAGCTGAAGAACACATAAACACATCTGGAGTTAAGCTTGTAAGGGCGTTGGTGATGTTTTTTTTTTTAATATTTAGGGAAACTTGTGGGGCATCCTGTAGATAAAATAACACCAAAGAAGTGAAGTGGTCAGTTTCAAATATATCACTTTTACTTCCAAGAATATTTCCTGGTTCTTGTGTATATTAGATAAAGCTATGTTGGATGCCAAAGGCTGGGTCAACCCGGAAACCCAAGACTTTTTTAAAAAATCCACTTTTTGGGGATTTTAAAAATTGCTGTAACCAGCAGACAGGATGGCAAGTATGTCACTAGCTACATAATGTCGACCCCCCCCCCCCCCCCCCCCCCCCCCCCTTTTTTTTTTCCTTTCTTTCTCACATACAAAAAAAAAAAAAACACACCATGAGATAGTCTTCTGTAGTCATTAGATTGTCACAGGAAGCGTAATGTTAACCCAGTGCTTTTATAGCCATATGAAAGTTTTTTGCTGGAAGCGTAATGTTGACACAAAAACTGGTGAGATTTGCTTCTGTAATCATAGGAGAATTTGTTGGTGGAAGCATTTTATTGACTTCAAGAATATCGA